TGGGATTTTGGGATGTTGGATTTGAGATTTTGGGATGTGGGATTTTGGGATGTTGAGATTTTGGGATGTTGGGTTGTTGGGATTTTGGGATGTTGGATTTGAGATTTTGGGATTTTGGGTTGCTGGGATTTCGGGATATTGGGATGCTGAGATTTCAGAACATTGGGAATTTGGGATTGTTAGATTTTGGACGTGTTGGATTTTGGGATTTTGGGATTTCGGGATTTGGGGATTTCAGGATTTTGGGATTTGGGATTTCAGGATTTGGGGATTTCAGGATTTTGGGATTTTGGCATTTGAATATTTTGAGTTTTTGGGTTTCAGAATTTGGGGATTTCAGGACTTCGGGATTTTGGGATTTTGGGATCTGGAGGTTTGGGGATTTGGGAGTTTGAGGTCACTGGGATTTCAGGATACGCTGGGATTTTGGGATTTCAGGATTTGGGGGATTTGGGGATTTCAGGATTTGGGGGATTTTGGGATTTCAGAATTTGGGGAATTCAGGACTTTGGGATTTTGGGATTTTGGCATCTGGAAGTTTGGGGATTTGGGGGTTTCGGGATGCTGGGATTTCAGGATGTGCTGGGATTTGGGATTTTGGGATTTCAGGATTTGGGGGATTTTGGGACTTTGGGGTTTCAAGATTTGGGGATTTGGGAAATTCCAGATTTGGGATTTCAGAACTTGGGGGTTTTGGGACATTGGGATTTGGGGATTTGGGATTTCAGAATTTGGGGATTTCAGAACTTTGGGATTTGAAGATTTTGGGATCTGGAGGTTTGGGGATTTGGGGATTTGGGATTTCAGAATTTGGGGATTTCAGGACTTTGGGATTTGAAGATTTTGGGATTTGGGGATTTCAGAACTTTGGGATTTGGGATTTCAGAACTTTGGGATTTGGGATTTCAGAATTTGGGGATTTGAAGATTTTGGGATCTGGAGGTTTGGGGATTTGGGGATTTCGGGACTTTGGGATTTGGAGATTTGGGGATTTGGGATTTGGAGATTTGGGGATTTGGGATTTGGAGATTTGGGGATTTGGGATTTGGAGATTTGGGGATTTGGGATTTGGAGATTTGGGGGTTTTGGGATTTGGAGATTTGGGGATTTGGAGGTTTCAGGACACTGGGATTTTAGGATACGCTGGGATTTTGGGATTTCAGTATTTTGGGATTTGGGATTTGGGGATTTTGGGACGCTGGGATTTTGGGATTTCAGGATTTTGGGGATTTTGGGATTTGGGGTCCGTGTCCGGTCTGTCCCCGCTGCTGCCAACGCCGGAACCCCCCGGGATCCCCAATCCCAATCCGGGATTTTTCGGGAAGCAGCTCCGGAAACTCCGGATTTGACTTCGCGCGGGAATTCCACGGCAGAACCCGGAGCCGAACGATCCCGGCCGGGATCCCGGAAAAAATCCGGACCAAAATCCCATTCCAACCCCAAAATGGAGCCAGAATTCCCAAAAATTAGAACTGGAATTCCCAAAAATTGGAGCTGGAATTCCCAAGGATTGGAACCGGAATTCCCAAGGATTTAAGGAACCAGAATTCCCAAGGATTGGAGCTGGAATTCCCAAGTTTTGGAGCCAGAATTCCCAAAAACTGGAGCCGGAATTCCCAAGGATTGGAGCCGGAATTCCCAAAAACTGGAGCCGGAATTCCCGAGGATTGGAGCCAGAATTCCCAAGGATTGGAGCCGGAATTCCCAAAAACTGGAGCCGGAATTCCCAAGGATTGGAGCCGGAATTCTCAAATTGGAGGAGCCGGAATTCCCAAGGGAAAAACTTCCCAGAATTCCCCTGACTCCAAATCCCACCCACCCCAAAAATTCCCTCCATCCCATAAAAACCCCTCCCACAAATCCCAAAAATCCCCAAAATCCATCCCAAAATCCCCAAATTTCAACCCCAAAATTCCCCAAAATTCCCAAAATCCATCCCAAAATTCCACCCCAAAATTCCCCAAAATTCCACCCCCAAATCCCCCAAATCAATCCCAAAAATCCCAAAAATTCCCAAAAATCCCAAAAATCAACCCCAAAATTCCCAAAAATCCCCCAAATCCATCCCAAAATCCCCAAATTTCAACCCCAAAGTTCCCCAAAATCCCCCAAATTCTGAATTTCCAAATATCCCAAAAATCCCCCAAATCCATCTCAAAATCCCCAAATCCCCCAAATTCCCAAAAATCCCCAAATTCTGAATTTCCAAAATTCCCCAAAACCTCCCAAATCCCTCCCCAAAACCCCCAAATTCTGAATTTCCAAAATTCCCAAAATTCAACCCCAAAATTCCCCAAAATCCCCAAATCCATCCCCCAAAAATCCATCCCAAAATTCCCCAAAATTCCCCAAAATTCCCCAAAATTCCCCAAAATCCGAATTCCAGCCCCCTCTGGTCGCCGCCTTTATTCGGGAACGTTTTGGGATTGGGGGGATCCAGCCCCGAAATTCCCAAAAAAACCCCAAAAATTCCTGGCGGGATGTTTGGGGGGAGGCGGGGCTATGCAAATGAGGAGGGCGGTGTTATGCAAATGAGGGGGCGTGGCCATGCAAATCAGGAGAACTCCTGGACGAATTTGGTGTAGAATTGGCCGAGCTTCTCCAGGAGCAGCTTCAGCTTCTCCGTGGGCGGCAGGATGGTCATGCTGGGGGGAAATCCCAAAAAAAATTTGGGAAAAGGCACCAGGGAGCGTCCCAAAAAAATTCGGGAATTTTTGGGCGGAAATTTGGGGGGAAAATAAAAAAAAACGGGGAAAAAATGGCCGAAAAATGAAAAGAAATCGGATTTTTTTTCTTGATTTTTTGGCCCAGGAATTGTAAAAGTTGAGGCGGAATTTTGGGATTTGGGATTTTGGGATTTTGGGATTTGGGATTTTGGGAATTGGGATTTGGTGATTTAGGATGAGAATTTTGGGGATTTGGGGTTTGGGATTGGGGATGGGTCATGCTGGGGGGGAGGAAATCCCAAAACAAATTTGGGAAAAGGCACCGGGGAGCGTCCCAAAAAAAATTCGGGAATTTTTGGGCAGAAATTTGGGGGGGAAATAAAAAAAAACGGGGAAAAAATGAAAAAAAATGAAAAAAACCCGGATTTTTTTCCTGATTTTTTGGCCCAGGAATTGTAAAAGTTGAGGCGGAATTTTGGGATTTGGGATTTTGGGATTTGAGATTTGGGATTTTGGGAATTGGGATTTGGGGATTTGGGGATTTTGGGGTTTTGGGGTTTTGGGATTTTGGGATTTTGGGATTTGGAAATTGGGATTTTGGGATTTTGGGATTTTGGGGATTTTGGGATTTTGGGATTTTGGGGATTTTGGGGTTTTGGGATTTTGGGATTTTGGGATTTTGGGATTTGGGATTTTGGGGATTTGGGGATTTTGGGGATTTTGGGATTTTAGGAATTGGGATTTGGGATTTCGGATTTTGGGGTTTGGGATTTTGGGGTTTGGGATTTGGTGATTTAGTATCAGAATTTTGGGGGTTTGGGATTTTGGGAATTTGGATTTGGAAATTGGGATTTTGGGGATTTGGGGATTTGGGATCAGG